AGAAATTATAACAAATATCCTACATACTCGTAAAAATAAAGAAAAGGAATCAACTTTATATTTATTTGACGAATTTCGAACAGTTATAGAAGCAAAGGATACAAGGTTAAAAATATTTTTCGATGAATTGTATCTTTCATTTAATCTATCTTCAAAAATTAAGGATTCACAGGCACAAGCAAAGAAACAGCTTCTATTTATATGCTATTTTCTTTGTAGAATTCGAAATAAGTTTGTTAATAATGCAAAGAAGGATTTGATGATATATTTGGATTCTACTGGTGTTTCTAACAATTCTATTGATATTCTTGCAAATTTAAGTATAATTACAACATCTCATACAGTTATACGATGCAAAACTGCTGCATCTGAAAAACATGCCGAAACTGTCAATTCTGCATTTGCTAAACATATAGATAGAGCGATGATATTAAACATTGATGATTACTATAGCATTCATATAAAACGAATACTAAATACGACTACTACATCTATCGCAGCACATTTGACAACAATTCTAATGAATCCAATTACTACTCAAAATGCAATTTTAAAATCAAATATATATAATCTCATACTGGTTAATGCTAAATTGATCAAAATGAATTTAGAAAATAAATTCATGATATTTTATAGATTATCACATAATCAACGTTGGAGATTTCGCGAAGTTGATGATGATATAAAATTAGAGGAGTTAACAGTGCATAGTTATGATATTAGATTGAAAGAAAAACATATTATTCATTCTATAAAGAATGTTATTCTTGTAGATTTACAGAAAAATAATCTACATTCTTTAAATGCATATATTAAGACAATTGATGCTATTACAAATATTCTATCTATAAAACAATACATTCAAAAAGAACTGGTTATTTTCATTGTTGCTGATTGACCAGACCAAATTTATCTTAGAATTGCTATTTCTCGTTATCTACTTTATAATGATTCTTTGAATATTACTAATTTAATTTTATCCTTTATTCCTATTATAGGTCCTTTACATATTTCATTAAATAGCTGAGAATTAGTATTCCTTTAATACCAGCCCTTTTTTTCAGCAATGTATAAGAATATATTTGGAGAATGAAGGTCTCTTGCACAAAAATCTAAACCATAGCGTATTAATCTACTTTTAGAGATTTCTCGTAGTGCTTGGTAGGAAATTTCTGAAGTAGTTGAAGAAAAATTTAGATTCTTATACAAAGATGCTGAATACCTCACGTTGAAGGATTTTCTTGATAATATAATTCCTTTGGTCCTAGATGTTTATGCTATCTTTTTTCAGTCTGACGATTTTAATGCTTATTTAGAATCTTGTTTTCGGGTTTGAATAATATTTCTTAAATTTCAATGCAAAAATTATAATAAAGTACCATTAATGTTTTTGTCTGATATTTTTATTAGAAGTCAAATAATCATCCAATCCTAGAGGTCAATAAGGCTGAACTTCCAAAATTTTCAGATGCAACTGTTGAAATTTTTCATAGTTTCTTGCGTAGAGGTATACAGAAACATATAGAAGCGCAACAGATTATCAAATATAGGCATTACATTAACCAATTATGCTTAGATGATAATGGTTTCAGAGAGAACTTTGCATACACATCAACATGGGCAGCATATGAATATTCTGCACGAAATATTACAATTTTAACAAAAAAGAGTGCATGCTTTTTGTTACAATATTTTTCAGATATTTATGTACGCTTTTTTAATGATAAAATATCTTTAATATTTCTATTACAGACTGTTACTACAAATTTATCTTTAAAAAAGAAAAAGAAATCTAATAATGATATTGTAATTCTAGCCGCAATGAAAATGCCAGAAGTAAAATTATGTCATCTTCCTTTAGGTTTTAGTACTTCGCATAAGCCAAATCTATTTTATTATTGTGATACTACTAATTGTTCTATTTCTTCATCTATTCATACAGGTCTGATTGTAATTTTATCTTGTGGCCATACATATTATAAAGTTTGTTATAATAATAATAAATTCAAGTGTTCATATTACCTCTCATTTTTATAAGATGACGTTGATGAAAATGTCTAGTTTCTGCTAATACAATTGTAACAATTTGATGAAATAAAAGTTGAAAAGGATGATAATAATATTCTTTTGATGACGACGATAAAAATGAACCCGTAGGATGTATGATATTTACATTGGAAGAAGCATTACAAAAATTTCAATCACAATAATATTTATAAATAATAAATAAGAATTTTAATTTTAGTTGATCAGTAATCCAGCTTTATTTAACTCAATAATTTTCTGATTTTACATTAGTCTAATTAGTCTAAAATATTAAAATTATACAAATTTGTTAATTATAAATATTATAAAAATAAATTGCTAAACTAAAAACTATTTTTATTTTAATTATTTTAATATTGAAACAAAATTAGATTCTTTGAAATAATCGTCAAATGACGCAGTTACGGTATATTATAGCGCAATTCAATTTTTTTTGGAGTTTATAAGTATATTAAGTTTAAATTAATAACAGAAACTTTAATATAGCTTATATTTAATAATACATAAACTTTAAACTTAAGTTTAAAATTAAATTTTAAATTTTAAATATAGTTTATATAGTTTGTACAGTTTAATATTATATATAATAATATCACATGCCATATATAAATAATTATAATATCAACTATAAAATTCGTGTAACCTTATCAGCCAATCACATGAAAGTCTTCCTATGACCCCTCCCTAGGTTAAGGATGCCCTTTATTAAGGGACGAAATCTTATTTGCAAAATAAAATATAAAATCGTGTTTGATTCATTTAATTTGACAATGACAACATTCAAAAGAATCGATGAATTAAACTTTGCAAAGGAGAGGTTTAATAAGGCTGTAGAAAATGAGGCAGTATAAGGAAGAACAAGAAAAAAGGTTAGCTGAGTTGTGGAGAAGTGGTGAGAAAAGTTATGCAGAAGGGATTTCTTAATTGAAGAGAAGAAGACGTTAAAAGCGACAGTTACGAAATAGGAAGACCAGTTAATATATTTATAAAAAGAAAACGTCAAAGGTAGTAAATAAGGAAAAGGTAATAAATAATAATAAGGTTACAAAAAATTATTTTCTTTATTGTTCCTTTTCATTTATTTATTGTTTATAGTAAATATTTGCAATAACTAACTTTTTTTTACTTTCTTTATTATTACACCTTTTAATCATTTGCCGTTGCTTCATCCTCATCTGCGCTTGTGTAATTTACTAATATCGAATACTTAATCTCGTGATTTTTTTACCTGATTGCATAAAAAATTATTTTCCATTTTGTATACTATTTACAACTTTATTTTGTACTTTCATTTTCATGATGATATTTTATTTGACCCTGGACATAACAAAATTTCTTTTATCTATTTTGCCTATCCATTTCCATATAAAGATACATTTTTTACATTATCCTTCTGAATATTTTAATTCATTATGCATTTATTTATTTTTTTTACTCTTATCTTTCATTAGGTATGTTTTGATTACTATACTTTCATTTTAATATCATTTGTTCATCTGAAAAGATTATTTATTATATTAATTTATTCAATATTTTCATGAAACAAAAGATGAAGATAACTTACTAAAATTATTTGATTGCATAGTATATATATTACATTAACTTAAATTTATGTATCATTTAACATTAGAGAATGCCTCTCAACAACCAGATTGGAATTTCTCTGATAGCATTTTGCAGTAGAAATCTCCTTATAAATGCCATCCTGACATTTCAATATCACTGGTATGTTCGATATTGTAATCAAACGTATTTGTGCTATTAATTTCTTAATAATGTAAATTGCTTTATTAGTTGATAGCTTATAAATTCTTTTAGAGCGCAATTTCAATTTCTTGGTCGTGAAAACGCATTAAATGTTCTTTAGTATAGAGACGAGATTGGTAATAATGGTATAAGAGAGTGGTGTTTTAATTATTTAAATGTCTTTTTCGATAGAAATATGCATTCTATACCTTTTACCGCTGAAGGTTCTAGGACAGGAAAAATAGACTGCTTGAGGAATTGAAGAATCTCGTTCAGGAGAAGGCAATCAATGATGCAGATAATCAGGTGTAGGAGATTTTTGTAATACAATAGCAGTGATAATAACTTTTGATAATAGATCGGCAGCATCTGATAATGATATTAAGCTTGAAGAGGAAATTGCATTTTGTTTACAAATTCTGTATTGCTATTTTGTGAAAGGAAATTCAGATATGCAGTACGAATATTTTATAAAAGAATGTATAATATTAGATTTACAAATTTAATGCTAGGAATAGTTTTAAAGACTATTACTATGGATAAGTATAAACAGCAACAACAAAATGGTAAGACAGCAGCTTTTTTATTATACGTAGATGAAACAAACAAGTTGTGAAAAAATTGTCAAAGATATATTCTTTAACCCTATCCTTTCGGAAACACTTGAGCGATTTCTATCTCAGATCATTACAAGATCGATGCACTCTGCTTTGATACTTCTATTAGACTTGCTTAACAATGCTGATACAATTAAAATAGCCCAAAAAAATTCTGGTTTAGACAAACATAATGTTACAATCACAGCCTCATTTCGTCGATGTCTATTAGATATTAGAGACATATTTATACTTTAGAATTCTTTTTAGAGAAATGTGTTTCTGCAAAAAATTCTGAATCAATTAACTTTTATGAGGTAATGCAATTTAAAGGAAAGTTGATAGTCAGATATAACTTCAGAAAAGTGGCATTTGATATGGATGTTGATGGGACATAGATAGGACATTTGGGACATAGTGTGGGATAGGTTAGGATATATAGCTGGGACAACAAATCTCTGGGACATTAAAAATGTATATTACTAGTTCAACCAGTTGCACATACGATACTTGGCTTAAATATTGTTCCATTAAAAAGAATTTCAGAAGGTTTCAATTGACTTATATAGACTTAAGTAGTATGGAATTGTTGGTATTTCAACGTGAAGGCAAGTCATTATTTTACATAAGAATACCGTATATTTGAGTGTGATGCATAGTAATGAGTACGCGTAAACTGAGAGCTAATTAGGAAAAATTCTGGAAAATACTCATAATTCAAGAAAAAAATCTTGTATGACAAGACTGGGAGGACTTAAACCTCCGCTTTTAGATTTCATCTATATCATATCATTGGTTATTAACAAATTGATATGGATGAATTTCTCCATAGAGTTTATTGCGAAACTGATTTTATAGAAAATACAATAGAGATACTATCAAATCTTATAAATCAAATTATTCGCAATCGACTTTAAAAACATAGGTTTTTCTAACTTTATATAGGGTTAAAATTTTTTAATTTTGAGAATTATGGGATCTAAAATTCTATATAAATATTTTAATTTTGAGTGATCGTTTGGTTAAGCTCACGTAATTAATTATTTTCTTAAATATTAAAATTTTACGTATGTTGATCTAATTATTTAATCTCAATTTAAATCTTCCTTCACTTGTTAAATATCAATTTTCTTTAAAAAAATGCCTTCTAATAATCATTTCAAAAATGCTTATTAAAAGAAAGTGAAACATAAAAGAACTTTTCATTTCAAGAAAAATAAAAAGTTTTAAGAATAACTTGTGAACTTACAAGTTTAAAATCAAAGTGAAAAAAAAAGAAATATACTTATGAATGTTAGGCTGGCATATCTTATAATAGATCAAAGTTCTTATGAAGTATCATTAAGACAAAGAATAAATATATTAGAAGTTAAAAACTTTTGTCAAAAGGAGGTATTTTTGAAGCAGTGATTATTTTATAAAGATTTATAGAAAAAAATAAAATAAAAAATATATAATTCTTTTCACTAATCTTTTTGACCAAATGTCTCCAACAACTAGAAAACAAAGTATGTACGGAAAAAAACCTGAACCTTACAATAAAAATACTTCAAACTTTTTAGAAAACAGTAAAGAACATAGTACATCATTTTCTAATGAATATGAAAAGAACAAAAATGATGATACAGTTATTAAAGTTACAAAAAGACAAAAAATTAAAACTCCAAAACTCAATATTACCCTAACAGTTATAGAAACTCCAAAAACTACTTAATCAACACCAAATACTATGTAACCCACTTTCACCACTCTTCAAAATAACTTTGTTTTTGAAGACTCTGAAGTCTATGAAATGAAAATAGATTCTGCTAAAAAAACTCCACTTTTTTCATCACAAGAAGCTAACACAAATGATTCTATACATGCAAAGAATTCAACAAATAATACTAGTCAATCTTTATATACATCTTTCACTGATAAAGGAAAGAACAAACAACTTTCTTGGGCTGATCAAGTTGAAAAAAATGTAAATGATTCTGACCAATCATGTGATACTGTAACAGGATTGGATTGATGGACGTAGCGCAGCATATTGCAGATCTAAATGTCAGATATATTTGATATATTTGATATACCGGACATATTTGATATAATTGATA